CCTTCACGACTGGACCAAAATGTGTGACTACTGTCTCCAACCACCAGTCAGAGAAGAACAGAGAGGAGTGAAACAGAGACACAGACAGAGGTACGGTAAAAGGAAAAAGTCAATAAGCAGGGTTTGTACATTTTATTATCAGCTGAGCTGTGATGAAAAGAAAAATACCATCAAAAACCGTGAAACCAGTGAAAATGTTGAAAATACCATGATATAAAATTTAGATCATATCGCCCAGCTCTAACTCATGACTCGCTTTGTTTAATCCTGAGAAGATACCAGCTCAAGACAGAAGCTCGTACTGTGAGCCGAAGAGTTAGTCGCAAACTGCTGGATGGATAAATATTCACAAAAATATTTAGAGTAACATCTTTTAAAGCTTTATAATATGTATTGTAATCTAGAGTGGAAATTGGTTGATGCTGTCTCCATCTGTTTTTACATAAATCACATTTTGCACCAAACTCATTTAAAAATGTAAATGCTTTAAATGCGTGTGCAGCCCGGATCAATTTCCTCATCATGTTAACATGTTTAGCACAGTTTGAATCAGGTTAGTAAAGCCCTGCTTATACACAGTGAGCTTCCTCTTAGGAAAACCTGACCCAATCCAAATATCTGTAACAGCTATTGATTTATAAAGTAACTGGTCGATTCATCACAAAATTGATTTTGTTCAGCAAAATTTTAAGCACTTCTTGGCATTAAAACATAAAACAAAAACAAAAAATAACAGATTTGCTCATTGTTATATCATTTAAGGATAAGTAAACCCTTAAAGAAAAATCACATGTAGAAGAATGTAAAAATGTTAAACTAACATGCAACGTGTGTGAAAACATGTGCTTTGATAGATATTTTAACACGTGTGGCAAAATAAGTTAGACTGAATGCAAGCTGCAGTGTAGAAGATAAGAAAATATTGATTTTTGCAGTAATTTAGAACTGCATGAAAACAAGTCCATAAAGACACGATTCTTTAAATCAGAATATTTAAATGGATTTTAATGCTCTGTTYTGTGCTATTCTGTTTTATTGTGAAGCACTTTGTGGCTACTTGACTCTGAAGTGTTACTTCCAAATCTACCTTAAAGAGTAACTTACCCCCAAATTAACTATTTTTAGCTGATAAACTGTCTAGAATGTGTCTAAAATGTTATATAGTACTGTTTCTGTGCTAATTTTGATGTTTTTGTGCGTATTTGTTTAAATCTGTAATATTTGGTCTAAAAACGTCTTTTTGCTGCTCATATGCGT